GCAAGGTTAGACTCTAACACATTTAGAGATGAAAAGAATTTCGAATTCTTACTAGTTCTAATAAGAATTTGAAATTGTGAAATGAGCATCATTGGAATCATGTCCAATCGATCTATTCACAAAGGAAGGACCATAGAGAGACATCGTATGCATGTTTAGAACATGGCATGAATGATGTCTAATTCAAGTGTTTAGTTTATTAATCGAAACATTATACAATTAATAAAGTCTAGTTAATATGGTGATTAAATAACAAGTGTTTTATTTATATTCAATTGTTTTGAGACCATATTTAATTAGGTTATTATTGTGTTTCACTTCGCATGTTTTACTTCCCGAATAATTGGATTATTCAAAACATACACAGTCGATCATACTTTGGAAGTAAGTAGTGAATTAAGACTGTCGTGAATTAGATTGTAGATTGTCTAAGGGTTTAGACATAGCAATGGTTTGCTGCAACATTCACGAGTACTTCTGAAATGGAGATTTGAGTATTGGATTAACCCACACTCAGAGAATTACTTCATAGATTTTATCACGAGTAATTTTGAGACGATAATATATTATATTCTTGAAACGAAGACATATGAGTTGTTGTTTACGAGTCAGTTAAGCATTGATAATACGTAAACGCATCAGTAACTTGATGATACAAAATGTATTGTTGTGCGTGATTTGATGAGTGAATAGTACAAGTATATGAGTCGAAGTTTATCCGTTCCTTTTTCCCTAACGGGGAAAAGCGATATATGTGGGCCCCTCGATGATTTGATAATGATATCTAAAGTGCTTGGCCAAGACTGGACTGAATTGATGTATTCAATTAGTAGTCTGATATCAGTCATTATAAATCAAAATTCGGGAAACAAACCTTGGATGGAGAGAATGATTATAATCCATGTCTCATGTTCATACGATATCTTGTAGAATAGAGGAATATTTGATACCTTATCTAAGGACACGTAACTGACTAGGTCAGAGATCGACAGCGGCTTTTGAAAGCTACGATTGATGATCAAATTTTGAGGTCATACTTGCAATCATAGTTATAAGACTTATCCAAGTGGGAGACTTTTGGATTAAGTGTCTAAGCCCATAACTATAATTGATATGTACTTGATTTGATAGTAGCATGGTCCTTTTGGGTTGCCTTCACTCTAGCAACTTGACAGGATGACTTTTGGAGAGAGAGAGGTTGAAGTTATTATTTGGAATAATAAATTGATTTATTAATGTATTATGAAAATGATATATTAATTAGAAATCATGTTATTTAATTAGTATTTAATCAGAAATTAATTTGGAATTAATTTTGGGATTAAAGGAACTGGTTAAAGGAACAGGGGCTGTTTTGCAAATCATTGATAGTTGTGAAACTGGGCTATTGGAATCCTTAGATGGGAGTGGACGAAAACTATAGGGAGGCCCTATAGGTTTCGTCCAAGGCCTCTAGATGAGGATTCCATGGGTTGCTTAAGCCTTAAGCAGGAAATTAGGGTTTCCTCCAGAAAACCCTAGCAGCCCACAACTATATAAAGACCCTACCACCTACGATTTTCGGCCAATGCTTACATTTGTAAACCCTAGCCAAAATTTGGTGCTATTCCCTCCTCTCTCCTCTCATCCTCTTGCTAGTGGTGTTTGTAAGCCATTAGAGGTGCAACATTTGAGGCACTAAGCTTTCAAGAGTCAAGGATCTACAAGGTTTCTTGTTATTGCTACATAACAAGTGAGGTAAACTTCTAAACCCTAAGTATATGTGGATTTTGAATTATATACTAGTTTCTAGGGTTTTGCTTTGGTATTCAATTTGCTTGTTCAGCTAGTGAAAAACTTAGATCCAAAGCAATTAGAGTTGCATGAACATATAGGTTGTAGTTATGCTCAAAACCCATCAGCACACAAACCTGGCAATTGAATAGGATGGCTTTTAGAGAGAGAATAATGATTTATTAATTTTTATTTGGTTAATAATTAATTAGAAATCAAAATATATGATTTGTTAATATATTATAAGAATAATATATTAATTAGAGATTGTAATATTTAATTAATAATTAATCAGAAATTAATTGGATTAATTTTGGGATTAACTGGATTAATTAAAAGTTTGAGGACTAAAGGTAACAATGTTCAATAATTGAGCATTGAGAAATTCTAGAACCTCCCATATGGGGTGGACGAATTCTAGATGCTTTCTAGGGTTTTCTTGGACTCTAACGGTGCCTTGGATGCCTTAGGGAGGAAGCTAAGGGATTAGGTTATCTTGGAGATACCTGCCTTATCCAACACTTTCCCATCACCTATATAAACCCTCCTTAGGGTTGAATTTCGGCCATGCCTTCCTTCTAAGAGCTTTGGACGAAATTTTGGCTCCTCTCCATTCTCTCTATAGTTTTCCTTGGTTACTAGGGTTTGGGTGTGAGCCATTAGAGGCACGACACTTGTGGCGCTTGCTACCAAAGGTTTTTTAAGCTTGGATTAAGATTGTTATTACTACATAACAATCAAAGGTATTTTTATAACCCTTATTTATGTATTTTTCAATTATACACTAGGGATCTAGGGTTTGTGTATTGTTGTTCATATCGTATGTTCAATTAGAGAAAACATAGATCTAAATTAGGGTTGCATGCACACATAGGATTGTTTGTAATGCTCAAAACCCATCACAAACACTAATCCCAAACCAACAACAAATGAACAAATCAAGTAATCGAAACCAATAACGAACAACAATAGTCAAATAGAAAAACAAAACCTCGAAATCGACAAATACTGACAATAACCAAACAAACTAAACTTCAAACAATAAGCGAAACGAACAAAAAAATGCTTTTTGAGCAAAAATCACAGCGAGATATTGACGAAAATGTATTCTTTGAACTCTAAACAAAAAATATCGAAATCTGTACTCTGTCCAAAAATCGCGGTGAGATATCGACGAAAGGTTATTTTCTCGACGGCGGAACCCAAATCGCGGCGCGAAAAAATGAAGAAAAAAAAACTCAAAATCAAACAAATACCAGCAATAATCGAAACCCTCGCACAATCCAAAAAAATCAAATCAAACCAAATACAGAAACAAATCAAAAAGGCATACCCGAAATGGTCAAAAGTTTTGAAACGCAGAATGCCACAACTTTACGTACAACTCTGTTGGGGGTCAGAAATGGCATCGATCAAGTCCTCGCACGATTGCCTGGAGTGTCGCAATCGAATGCCTGGTCCTGGAGGGCTGAATGCGCTATATGGGTAAGGTTGCGCCCTTTCTAACACCAATTGGTTTTAGATCAACCGACAGCGCTGATGCTCAATAAGTGGTATCAGAGCCAGTGGCGAGGGTTCGATTCTCTCAGGGAGCAATTTCTGAGGAGGGGGTTGTTGGGGATCAGAAATAGCATCGACCAAGTCCTCGCACGATGGCCTAGAGTGCCACAATCGAATGCCTGGTCCTGGAGGGCTGAATGCGCTATATGGGTAAGGTTGCTCCCTTTCTAACACCAATTGGTTTTAGATCAACCGGTGGCGCTGATGCTCAATAAACTCACACCCAACAATCATAAACGGTGGACCGAATATGGCTTTAATACCATGTAAACTTATGAACAAAATAGTACTAAAATTTCATTATTGAAAAATAAAGAGTACACTTACAATGAAAGGAAAGACAATATATATACAAAAGCTAATTAGACATGAAATGGATATGTCCATATATCTCTTACTCAAATTTATGAGATGATAAAATATAACAAAAGCTTTATAAAGAAAAGGTTCATGTGGACGTATTGGTCCACGGAAGAGTACACGTAGGTTTTAACCTAACTATAGAGCCAAAGGGTCAAACATGATCCAAACCAAAAAAATAGCCTAATAACTTTATTATGCTAACATTCACTTCCGATAGTAGTGCCTTATTGATCAATGTGATAGATGATATTACACATAAGATTATGGTGTTTATATGGAGATCAGATGTATTTTTATAGGAGATGAACCAATATAGATTGACCTAATATGTATCTTGTGTTTTTAATTTACAATTACACCTTATAAGAAAATTATAATACCACATAAATTTAGTCCCTTAAGTTACATGCCTATGTCATAGCCATTATTTGACATATAACGAAGTGCTATGACGAACTGCTATGTCATTATGATGAAAGTTCTAGCCCATAACATAATTTTACTCGATACATAAAAGGATTATAAGAATAAACTGAGACCCACATTAACATGATTATTTTCTAACACAAGATACGTCTTTCCTCGTATAAACATGTAGAATTGGCTACTGGCAAATACATTTGAGCTAAGTCCACTTCCTTTCAGGTGGTGAAAAAGAGGAAACCCACTTTTCTCTCTTGGCCTTTTTTTCGTTTGAAAGACGTTCAAATTGAAATATAAACTAGCGTGAAGCTAGGTGTAAATCTGAGCATTACAATCAATTAGCATGTTACAACACCAACTAACCCAATTGAAATAAGGGCCTTTTTTGTTACTATTGTTCACCCAATTAAAACTAAACATTTGGATTTCCTCTCTTGGCTACAATACAACAGCTTGTGTGTTTGATCACCATATATCTAAAGCAACCCCTTTCCTTTTTTTCTTTAAAAAATGAAAGAGGTATTCCTCATAGTATTCTTACCAGACCAGGATTGCATGTTTAAAGGAAGCTCCTTAATTCTGTTCTAGCAGCTCAAGGAGGCTCACCAAAAATCGACACTTTGGTAGTTCTTATGAATACACTGAAAAACTTATCTACTCTCATTAAATTACAATAATAGAGCTCAAATTCTAAACATTGTTGAAAACCTTGAGAATTTTGTCATATAATCTTACCTTGAATCCTATTTACCCGATAAACATCTATACTTTTCTCATGTGGATAAACATCATATAATTGAATCCCTTCTGATCAAGGATTTGAGGCAATTATTTAAAAATGATGAAATATAAATTACATATATAATTAGGGATAACTAACTCTACTTGTAAAATTCCATGACCCAAAGGTTGCAAACGAAGCATTCCATTTTTATTCCAGTGAATCCTGCATTTTTAGCTAAGACAAGAAACTCATGCTCTGTTCGCTCTTTTCCTCCTGGATTTTGTGTCATCATGATTGCATCTGTTTGGGTGGTGACTTTGTCGGAAGAGTTTGTGTTGGACAAAAAAGGAAGAATGTACTCGACTACAATTACCTTCCCCTCATTCGACAATGCCTTGTAGCAGTTCTTTAGCAACTTTTCACAAAGATCATCACTCCGATCATGCAATATCCACTATGCCAAATTCCATATTTTATACGTCATATTTCATCAACTAATAGATATTTGATTCAAATTGTAAAATTGTTTGAGAAAAACTACCTTCATAAAAATGGCATCACTTTGAGGAACCTCTTCAAACATATTTCCTCCGATATGTTCTATGCCTACATTTTTCAATAATAAAAGCATGAAGAAAATGAAGTCGTAGTTTTTTTTCTTAAGATAGAAAGTACGTCATTCTAGATAAATGATTCAAATTACAACTAAATCGAAAAATTTAGAAGGCCTAAAATAAATTAAATACCAGGATAGACCGGTGCATGTTGGATCACATGAGGTAAATCATAATTAATGCCTTTAATGGTGGGATATTTTGATACGATGATATTGAGATTGACTCCTAAACCACCTCCGACATCAATCACATGCTTGATGTTGTCAAAGCCATGGTAGCACTCGAGGATTTTGTTCATCACGATAGTAGTATGATTCAACATGGCATTGTTGAAAACCCCGTTGAACCTCACATCTAATGTTGGATATTCAAATGCATGTGTTCCGTGAACCATATCAAATGGAACACCTCCTTCTAGCACCGAATCTTTAAGTTTAAATCTTGTTCAGTAAATAAAGTGAATGTAGCATCAATGCATTTATATTTATTTGGTTGCTCGTTTGAAAAAAAAAAAGACCACCATATATATGACATAGGATGTCATAATAGCAATACCCTTTTTGATTGCATATCACGTCCTTAGACTTTCAAAATGTATTTCCTTTTATCATGTAATTAAGAATATTTTGGCATATCATATCAATATATTGGTTTAATACAATAATTATAAACCATTTGCAAATTCTCTCTTTAACAAATCAACAAAAGAAAAAAAAACAATAAACAATTGGCAAAAATATATTATTTAAAATTAACAAAGTATGGTTGCAAATATGTAGGACGACAATTGCATTTTTTTTATTTTATTTTTTTTGAATTTTAACTAATTCTTGTCTCAAACCAAAAAATTAGTGAAATGACCTAAGTCAAATTATTTATACAAATGACCTAAATGAGATATTTTGAAAATTTATGTTGACTATGTATCTATAAAAACATGGTTTAGGATATACAAATAAAATTTTCGTTGTTGTTATTAAGACTATGAGGTTATTCGATATGCTTCTTATTGGGTTTGGTATGAATATTGGATAATTTAACTTTTTTTTTCCAGAAAATCATCAACTTTTTTTCCCGAAAAAATCTCACATTTGATAAAAAGTATCTTTTGAACAAACTTTTTTGTTTTGGCTCATAATTCATATGTTTTTCTTGTTGTTACCATTTACAGTTTTTTTAAAATTTTTAACATTAAAATCTGTATGAAACATTTGATTTTTTTCAAATAAAGAAAAATATGTCGTGTCCAAATGCCCTGTTATTGTTAGCAAAATTCATATTAAAATCCACTTGCAAGATTCTTAGGCTATCCCCATTAGCAACACAACTCAACCTAATTTTTATATAAATAACTAATTTCCCTCTCTTCTACCTGTACAATCCAACCTAATCCAATTATTTACCCCATTAGCAATCCAACCCAACATATTTTATATTAAAATTTTATATTTATAAAACTGTATCAATATTGATCTTAGTTTGTAGAGAAAAATAAATTAGGTGAAGGAAGTCGTTATGTTATTAGATAGATAGTCCTTATATCATCAGATTAGATGGATATTTTGATTGCTATTATCTTGTTATCTAGGTCGTTATCTTCTATTTTAGTTTCATAGTTTTTTTTTTTGGATATTCACCTTGTATTTAAGGCTCACGTATTGAATGAAAGATATAGATTTATAGGGTATCAATTTTATGGTATCAGAGCGGGTCATAGACCTGCGATAATAAAGACTTGCCGGAGATGGTGGGAGACAAGCCGAAATTGCCAAAAGATGGAGAAGGAGGAGCCATCGACTCCAACTCTCATTACTACATTCACTCACCAGAATATCCAAGACAAATCCACGTAAATGATGTGTCACACCCCCAAACCAAGGATGGCGGAAACGTCCGGGGGTGGAGGACTTCATGTATAGTATCATAACAGCAATTGTAATAGTAATTCAAGCAAACACAACCAACATATATATATAATTGAAAAAAAATTACATCATTGTATGAATTACATGTTTACGAATCAATCACAATATGTTGATAAAATATGAAATAGTAGACGCCTTAGCGTCTCATCCTCAAATGCACTTGATTACCTGTTTAATGATTTCCTGAGAATACAAGTTGTTTGAAAAAGTGTCAACACAAAGGTTGGTGAGTTCATAAGCTTCTGTTTGGTATTATTAAAAGCCTTTCGTTTGTAAAAGTAGTATTTGTGTTAGAAAAATCCAATATTTTCCTTAATGTGTAAATGTAGTCTTAAAACCCAAAGACCGAAATGTACAAGTAATTTGTCATATTTATAGTAAAACAATGCAAGTTTAAATCGACATAAACTCGTTAAATTTTTAATGAAGTTCCCGTAAATTCCAATGTTTGTTAATACTTTATGTGAGTTTATTATAACCATACTATGACCAAGGTTGCCTAAAACGACGTTCTTCAAGCGTCGGAAATGTTATGACATTTGTCACCCCAGACCTATCGGTCTAACTGTTGCATGCAGTTTAGGTGTGGGTTTGTCAAACCCAATATAGATCTATACACAAGTATCACGCTCTCCCTTAAGGAGACTCTGGTTACAATACAGGACTTAATGGTAATTTGAAGTAAATGTCTCACAAAGTCATTAACGGAATTACGTGTTATGAAAACTTGGTACCGTATGGTCGTACCTTGCTTAATGAAAATATCTTTTGTATAAATGTACCATTTTTAAATGTATGTGTTATGTAATGTATCATAAACTATACCTATTATAGTTTATCAACCAAGGGTAGTACGTGGTAATGTATGCAAACTATATTCAAAATAGTTTATTTTATGTTTGAATGTATCGATTGTACTTTGATTATAATCACTTGTTATTCTTTATATTTTATATGACCAAATCCAGTTGTAAACTGATGTGTGTCTAAATATTAAGATAAAATGTCATATATTGCAGTAACATATAGTCACATAAAGATATACACCTTGCTCAACATGTTACAAGGTGAAATGAAATTAACAGCAACTTTTCGTTAAAAACAGTTTCTGTTACCGTTCTTAGAAAATTTATAGAAAAATCATCACAGCTCTAAATCCAAATCCGCAAATTTTGAGAGTTTGGAATATGAGTCTAGTTTGTTCGTAAATTTTATCATGATTTTTAGTGATCTCTAACAGAGGTGAAAATGTTCATAATCACAGACTGGTCCGGGTTTGCCTCTGAAATGACAGGCAGTTTTGTAAAAATCACCATTAATTGTAGAAAAATCATTTGGAGATGTGCAAGTAGTCATTTTAAAGCTAAGAGTTTGAACTACTTGCACCTGAAACAGCTTTGAAAACTAAAATATTTAAGTTGACCAAAACAGTCCGTGATTAACGTCCATCTTTTCTGATGCAATCTGTTAGAAAAAGTTTAATTGTGTTCTTGATGATTTTACTTGTATTCCCTCCTTAAAACTTAAGAAAAACATGTAAATGTATGGGTATGAACTCACCTTATGTGGTTTCAGTAGATGAAAGTGAGAGAAAGGAAGTGTTCAACTCAAGAACACTAAGAAGATGTCTTGATGATTCGAAAATCTAACACCGAATAAGATGGAACTTGTGTAAGATATCAATAATTTGAGTAGAATGGAGTTTAATAATTATGTGAATGATGAAGATACTTACTAATTGAAGAAAGAAATCCCTGGAGAAAGCCTTGAAGTTCTTGAAGTTAAGAGAAAAGATGAGAGAATTTTGGAGAGTGTTCTTGGTTGCTAAGTGTAGAATGAAAGAGTTTTTATGGAGAATGAGGAGAGATGATCAATCAACCAGCTCTTAGAACGTGGGAAGAGCTGGAGATTGGCTGTAAAGGTCCACTAAGGAGACAAGGGGTAGTGGGAAAGAGTGGCTGATCATAGAGTGAGGTGGTAGTGGGTTGCTTTTGCCATAAATTAAGGAAAAGCAAATATTCCCTCAATAATTAGATCAATCACCAATTCTTTTAATATATTTTATAAAAACCCTGGAGATTTATATATTTTGGGGCCTTAGTTTATAAAATAAAGTTTTGGGTGAAAATCCCACGTTAAAATAATGAAAAACGGAGTTAAAACGAAGTCGTAGTCGAAAAACCGGTAAAAAGGGCTTGTCTGCGAGGCTTCGCTTCGGACCTTCGGACTTCGGACACGGCTTCGGACTTCGGACACGACTTCGGACACGGCTTCGGACACGGCTTCGGACCTCGGACCTCGGACTTCGGACCTCGGACCTCGGACACAGCTTCGGACCAGAAGCTTTGGTTTCGGATCCTTAAAGTTATTTTACTCGTTTTTATCCTGTTTCAAGCGATTTTGGACCCGGTTAAGGGTCGAGATGACCCAAATGATTACAAAAAGTTAAAGTAACTTTTGAGAGAGATTTGGGAGAGATTTAGGAGAGATTTCAATTAGAAAGAGATAGAGTGAAAACGATTTAGAGAGGTTTCGTTTGTGATTAATTTGAGTGTCCGGCTTCACAACGCAAGGTTCGTAAACCCCATTAAACTGTGTTTTAGTGTCGTACACAATCCCGATGATTGTGCAATAGTGTTTTATCGCTTTGGTTCGTTGTTTAGCACTGTTAAGGCTAAGGAAAATCAAACACATGAACTTTCCAAATGATGATTTCTCATTAAAATAGCGAATTGTATAGTGATTACATAACGTAAACCCTAGCATACAAGGGTTATTGGAGTTGACCGGTTTGACTTGTTGACTTTGAATTTACCGAAATTTGACGGTTGTCACATGATGTCTTGATTGATAGCAACTACAACGATTGGGCTCAAGAGATGAAAATTTTCTTGTTTCGGGTTCATCAATGGAACCATTGAAAAACCTTAAGAAAAATCACAAAACCACATGATTTGGATGCGTTGTGATGACATGATAAAGGGTTGGCTAACCACCGCAATCGAAAAATATATTAGATCCAACGTCAAGTATGCAAACATAGCTAGAGACGTCTGGAATGATCTTGAAGAAAGATTCAAAAAAGAAAGTGCACCCTGAGCATATGAGCTTAAACAATCCCTCACATCAACACGTCAAGATGGTGCATTTGTGTCCACTTACTACACCAAACTTCGTGCTATTTGGGATGAAATTCAATCAACATCACCCATACCTCATTGCATATGTGCCAAGTGCACCTATGACATGGGGAGGAGACTAAACGAAGCTAAGGACAAGGAATGGTTATACGGATTCCTAATAGGCTTGGATAGTGAATATTCTACTATCAAGACCCAAAATTTGTCCATGAAACCATCCCCCAATTTGGGAGTTGATATGTGCTTATTTAGTTATAAAAATAATGCATTATCTTAATACTTTATGTTAATTTTATCTCAAATAATGGACAAAAGGTGTTTAATTAGCT